TTATTTAGAGCCTCGGCTCTTTATAAAATTTTCCCTTTTGTTTTTGTGTCATGCATAAATAACTCTAGTTTGTTTTTCTCATTGATTTTATGACTTTCTATTCACCAATTATCAAATCAACAAGTGTCCAATATCATCACTCTAAACTTTTCGGTACAAGAGAGAAGATGATGGACTAGTGTCTAACCTTTCTCGTATTCGAACAAACAAAATTAATTCACCATTAGTCTACTATTTGATATATTGTATGGCAATGGCAGCTGTTATGCAAGAATGGGGCTTTGAATAATCCCTTTTACTCACACACTCTTCACAGTTGCAGCGGCCATGGCTCCTCTCACTCAAGTTTCATCATTCTTCTTCTTCCTAACTACTGCAGCTCTCCTATGCTTTTACTTTGTGATGTCAGCGCCTGATGGTGCAGAGGTGCTGCATTTTCCTGGTTTTGATGGCCAGCTCCCTTCTAAGCATTATGCAGGGTAATCATCAAGATTCTCACAATAGAACTCTTGCTTTTTACTGTTAACTGTTGTTGATCATCGAATGCTTTAGGGGTTTTGAATTGTTGTGGACATGCATCAATGTCTTATCATGATATTGTAATCCATCGATTATTTCATTGTGTGTGTTTGTTATTTCTACTAGTAATATGTGAGACTACTGTTGGATTCATCAAAGAACCTTTGAAAATGGGTAATTATGTTGTGATGATGCTCATTTTAAAACCTTATTTAGGAGTATTATGGGAAGCCTTTGGTACTTAACATGTACAAGGCAGGTATTTTATATGGTATGCAAGGTCCAAATGAAGGTGCAAAAAGAGAATTCTCTGGTTAATCATTGATATTTTATTCTTGGGTTAATAATTTTGATCTTTTAGGGTTTAGGGATAGTAATCGGGATGGAGACTCAATTGAGAGAAAATTACCTTCTGTTTATGCTTTCAACAAGGGGTGTACAACATTTACATAGTTATCAAAAATCAATTGATTGTAACACTCTCTACTATTGAAGACGAGTATGGAAGAATTTGTCGTGCATTGTGGCCGCAAAACCCTTCTTAAAGAATTGCAAAATCCTCAAGAATTTCTAATACGGATACGGATCGATGTTGACCACAAGTTGGCAATTGCCTTGGCAAAGAACCCTCTCTCACTAAAAGGGTGAGTACAACAATACTGGTTTCATTTCATTCAAGATCAAGTAAAGGAAAAATAAGGTAGAGCTCGTTTGCACGAGGACTCAAAAACCAAGTTCCCCACATTTCTCCCCTCAAAAATGAAGTATTTCAGATTTTGCAGGGTATGAGAAACATGGAATATCAAACTTATAAGGGGGGGTTCATAAAAATAATTGATTTTGGGATCATTTTTGGTATTTTAAAAATATGTGATCGTTAGTTTTTGGAATCTTAAGTGTAGGAAATTTGAAAAATTCCCTAGAAGGTTGAAGTTTAAATTTGTGTAGATCTTCGGTGATAATTTCCTTGGACGAGAGGGTGTGGTCCAAAGCATGCGTGCATAACATGCATGCTTGGTATATATGTTTCCAGAGCATTTCATGCGAAATTCGTATAAGATTTATGAATTCAGAGAGGAAAAAAGTAGTTGTAAGGGTACAGTGTTTAAAGTCCTCAAAGGTCTTTACATACATGTACTCTGTTTTTGTGAAGAAAGGAGTGAAATTTCAGTTTATTATATTCATAATATTGGCCATTAATAAAGCATAATGGCGTATCAGGATTCATTAGCCGATCCCAATTAATTGGGAAAAGACTATGATGATGATAATGATATTCATAATATTGGTTGCTTGCATAAATATTGAACAAAAGCCTCCTTGCCCACTCTGCTTCCAAGTAAAGATTGATCCATGGTTTTTCTTCTTCTTTTTATTTTCAAAAAAGCAAATATAAAAAAGAAAATGGAAACATGGGAATCCTAATCCAAGTTGGCAATTCGTTGAAAGAATTGTAGTATTTTCTCATTGATTCGGGCGATTCAGATAGGAGGAGGTTGATTCCCGTTTCTGTAATGAGACATGCCTAGTTACTTGTAGATTCAATTTGAATCAGTGCTTCTTGCTTCTTAATTCTGATCGGGCCTAATACAAACTAATAATTGGGAATGGTGGCACTTTTATGAGAGGAACCCAAATGGAGCTGATAATGGGTCGGATTGGGTCTGGATTCAGTCGGATTGGGTCTGGATCCGATCGGATCCAATATATATATATATAACAAAAACATATTATATAAAATATATGTATATATAAAAGACAATATATAATATTTTAATAAATAGGTCGGATCTAGATCGGATCCTCCTGTACATAGCTCTGATCTAAATTACCACTCAAATCCAAATTTTGGATCCAAATCTAACCCGTCGGATCCAAATCTTGGATCCATACCTGAATTTGCATAGGGTTTGAAATTCAGATTTTGGATCCAAACCGGGTAAATTCTCAGCCCTAAACCCAAAGTCCTTCTTAACATAGCACCCATGTTACAAAACTTGTCGTTAGTTTCCTTCGCTTACGGATTCGTCTCTCCAGCATTTCGATGTCTAGGAGATTGAACCCCATTTGTTCCCTCAGAGCTTGTGAGACTATATTCATGTCTTAATACCAAGAACTAACCATGTATGAACTAGTTTTGTTAGACCCTTCTTTAGTTTGGTCGGAAAAACAAAGTAATTTGGTGTTTTGAGGGATTCAGAAGAAGACTTCAGAAATTAAAAAAAAAAATCATTAAAAATAAATTTATATATTTATATATAAAAATATATTAGAATAATAACTATTTTAAAAATAATTTTTTTTAAAAAAAAAATGATTTGGTGCTTTGTTCCGAAGATGCTGAATCAGACTGAAATAGGCTGAAGGGGCCCAAAGCGCTGAAACGGATGCACTGGAGCTTTGCTCTACTTTGGTCTAGGCCAAAACTCCAAAGACTTAGGCCTCTTCTGCCAAAGCGAAACAAATCTGATCACATTGGTACAAACCCCAAAAAAAAGAAGAAGTTCATGTATACCTGACCATACTTCATAATTATGGGAAAGTGATAGAATTGGGTGGGGATGTGTTTGATGAATAGATAACAAAAGATCTTTTAGATTCCATTTCTTTGATGCATCCTTTATCTGCCAGTATTACAATCTAGAATTAATTTGTTTTTATTTTCTTTCAGTAACCATAGCTACAAGTTTGCCAATTATGCTATATGCTGATGGCACTGATCTTGCAGGTATATCACCTTGGGTAATGAAGGGAATAGACGGTACCTGTATTACTACTTTGCAACATCAGAGCGTATTCCTTCAAAAGATCCAATTGTATTTTGGATTAATGGTGGTCCTGGTTGTTCAGGAATGAATGCGATTGTATACTTCCACGGTTGGTATTTTTTTATTTATGTTTTCTATTTGTGATTTACAGAAGAAGTCTATATTTCATCCTTTCATCTGCTCATCAAATGTGTGTTATAAATCACAACTACTTAATAGATGGATGAGCAATGTAATTGTCTTGTTTTTTTTTCTCCTAAATGTAAATGTAATTGGTGGATAAAAATATTCTGTTATATTTTGTTTGAGAAATATTAGGTGTTATGTCAAAATAATATCATTTTAAATTATAGTTTTGTAAATGGAGAGAAGCAGTGAGATTTTTGTGCTGCATTGGAGAATGGAAAATAGAAAATGATTTATTTATAGGGTGTGGTTTGTATAGAGCCGAGGCTCAAAACAATCAAATTGGAGCCCACCTTCAAATAGGGTCGAGAATTGTGGTTTCGATATCGAAAATCTTTGTGATAGCCTTAAAATATATTTTTATATTTAATTATAAAATTTAAAGCTTAAAAAATAATGTAGATCAAGCAAATCTATAAAAACTTGAAAATCTTGAAAATTGACTGTCCAAAAATGCATTACAAGATGCATATTTTAAAAACTTGAAATCCATTTTTTTCTCATGTCCAGTAATGATCACTTTGAGGATATTTAAGTATCAAAACAACCTCTTCTATTGAAATATTTGAGATAGGCTCTAATTTTATTGTTTAGAGCCTCGGCTTTATATAAGCTTTTCCCTTATTTATATGTAAACAATCTCTGTATTCATAGTATATGTTGGGCATTCCGTTACAATAGTTAGTGACTATTAGGGGCATCATAACAATCCAAATGAGAAGTCACAACTCTCAAGTTAACATTCACTTTCTCAACCTTATTAATGTGGTTTCAATTTCTCATTTCAACGGAACTTTTTATGTCAGGTTTCTGATACAGTTGAAATTATCTTGCCAGATTTTTTTTTTGTAGTAGTTAGATTGTGATCGATAGAATAATAAATACAGATGATGTTAATTTTTCTTCTTGTTTTTGTTACTTTTATTTATTTATTTTAAATAGTCTATCATTTTTTTCTTAGGGGCGGTAACTTTATTTGGTATGTCTATTTTATTCTCTCTTTTTGTATGAGTTAGCAAGGTTTATCTTATAGAAGGTGACCTTTATGGAAACCTTCCATCCTTAGAAGATAGCTGACTTTCCTCCTTTTATTTATTATTTATTTTTTATGGGTGTGCTAATCCTTAGTCAAAAGGAAAGTGAGAGAAACAACATAAACAGTAAATTTTTTTTTTGTTAAAAAAACAACAATGAGTTAAAGAGAGCGAGAGCCTTGTGGGTTTTTTCTTAGGAAAATTACAAAAAGAAACCCCAATACTACACTTTCTACGCAACTTACCCTCAACCTAACTTTTTTTCCAAAAACAAACTTTCTAATGCAAATACCCTCCAAGAGAAAAAATTCATTTGTTTTAGATGGAAATGCTTTTCCTCTATACAAAAATCAATTTGGCCAGATTTCACATTAACTTTCGGAGCACATTGCTGGAGCGAACCATCGCAATGCCGGAACGCACATACACAGTGTCGGAGTGCTGTGACTCCAAAGTGTTCTACTGCTATAACGTACTTACACAATGCCGAAGTGCATCATCCACTGTCGGATCGCACTTACACATTGTCGGAGCTCTGGGATTCCAGGGTGTTCCATTGCCAGATCGCACTTACACAGTGCCGGAGTGTTGTGATTCCAGAGTGTTCCACTGCTAGAGCGCACTTACGCAGTGTCGGAGCGCACATACACAATGTTGGAGCCCTGGGACTCTAGAGTGTTCCACTGCCAGACCGCACTTACACAGTGTCGGAGCGCTGTGATTCTAGAGTGCTCCACTGCCTGACCGCACTTACACAGTGCCAAAGCACTGTGACTCCACAGTGTTCCACTGCCAGAGCGTACTTACGCAATGCTGGGGCGCCTGATCCACTGCCGGAGCGCACATACACAATGCCGAAGCATTGTGACTCCAGAGTGTTCAACTGCCAGAGTGCACTTACGCAATGCCGGAGCGCCTGATCCACTGCCGGAGCACACTTACACAGTGTCGAAGCGCTTGATCCATTACTGTAACTATCATTTTATATTTTTTATTTGCTTTAGGGTGGTGTTACATATTAGTTAATAATAAGGAGAACTGGAGTTCCGTGTTGCTTTTAGGTGCTAGTGACACTGTTTTTAAGTGGCTTGGGCTGGGCTGCAGAAATTGATAGTTGTTTCACAAATAAAGATTGGCCCTGGATTCAAGGAGACAATAGAAGATAGAGAGAGGGAGAGGGATGGATTCGGGTCAAAAACTCCTTCAAAGAGGGAGAGGGAGAGAGCTCGAGCCGGGAGAGAGCACAAGAAAGAGGGATGGAGCTCGAGCCATGAGTGAGTCTGTGGACTGCGGATCCTCTTGCAGTAAAAAATTAGGTCTCGTGGGAAAGAGGAAAGAGAGAGAGAGAGGCATGGGTAAAGGGTAAAGTATGGGAGGAGAGAAGGCGTGGGTAAAGGGTAAAGTATGAGAGGAGAAAAGGCATGGGTAAAGGGTAAAAGTAAGGGTAGTTTTGTCTTTTTAAAAAAAATTTGGGGTGGTTGGGGGTATTTGCTAGGAAACATTATTTTGGAGAAAAAATTGAGAGGAAAAGATTACTTGGGGGTAAATTGCATAATAAGTTTAGTTTTGGGGGCTTTTTGTAATTTCTCTTTTTTCTTCTTTTGATTCTTGTGGGGCCTGGCACTATACCATTCATTCTTTCTTCTTGTTGATTTCTTCTCAATTTTTATTTTTTCTTTCTAAAACGCGATTGTATTTATTGAGCACTGGCCGCTAGTGAATTTTTAGCGACGTTAGGAAGTATCAGGGTGTCGATTCTTATAGGATTGTAGTGCTCAGTAAGGCATCATGGCTCGTAGACGTGCGCGATAGCTAGGTACTAGAAATGAGCCAATCCAACGAGAACGAGACCTCCTAGATATTACGAAAGAAGATTTGAGAATGAAAGTTGAAGAGCTGACCCAGCGTTTGGCACAAAACCCAACCCCCACACACTATGACAACAATAATGAGTAGGATGTTGTTTTCAAGAATCCATTCAATGCGGACACTCCGTGTCGAGAGGCTATAGTAGGGAAAGTGATCAACCTATGTTTGATAAAGAACCAGTTGAAGGTGAAGAACAAGTTAGTTTGGATCTTTAGTTGGAATCATAATTCCTTGATGGCAAAAGTGACTTTATTTTTAATGAAAATCCTATATTTCATAAGGAACAAGAAGAAATGAAAGAAGTCGGCCTAAAGGCATCAAGGATACGTGACTTTCTCATCAAATGGAGAGGCGGACAAGTCAGATTTGATTTGAACCTATAGGAGCTCGAGCCTATGGAGATATTCGAGGAAGAAAAAGATGAAGGACTCAAATAAGAATCAACTGGTTAAAGTTGGTTCATTCATTGAAAATTCTCATCTCGAAGATATCCCCTTGTTATATTTTAAGTGACCCATTCTTCTAGGGTTTTTCAAAAACACAATCTCTCTCTAGAAACCCAATATCGCTTCCTCTCTCTAAAAACTCATTCTTTCTCTAGAAATCCAATATCTTTCTCTCTCTAAAAACCCATTCTCCTTCTTTCTCTATCTAAAAACCGAATCTTTTTCTAGAAACCCAATCTCTCTTTCTCTTTCTAAAATCCATTCTTTTTTTCTTTGTAAAAACACATTCTCTTTCTATAAATCCCAATCTCTTTCTCTCTCTAAAAACCCGTTGTCTCTCACTCTAGAAACTCAATCCCACTCTAAAATCCAAACTCTTGCTCTAAAAATCCTATCTCTCTATCTCTCAAAAAATCCATTATCTCACTAAAAAGTCAATCTCTTTTTCTCTCTAAAACCCATCGTCTCTCTATAAACTCGATCTCTCTAAAAACTCATTCTCTCTCCAAAAACCGAATCTCTCTTTCTCTTTCTAAAAACCCATTATTTGTTTCTCTAAAAGTCCATTCTCTCTTAAGAAATCAAATCTCTTTCTCTCTCTAAAAGCCCATTCTCTCTATCTAAAAACCCAATCTCTCTCTTTATAAACTCATTCTCTCTAGAAACCTAATGTATCTTTCTCTCTCAAAAAATCCTTCCTCTCTTTAAAAAATCTATCTTTTTATCTCTCTAAAAACCTATTCACTCACTCTCTAGAAACCCAATCTCTCTTTTTCTAAAAATCAATTCTCTTTTTCTCTCTAAAAACCCATTTTCTTTCTCTTAAACCCAATCTCTCTTTCTCCCTAAAAATCCATTCTCTCTCTAAAAATTCAATCTCTCCTTTTCTCTCTAAAAGCCCATATTCTCTCTCTAGAAACTTAATCTCTCTTTCTCTTTCTAAAAACTCTATATGTCTTTCTCTCTAAAATCCACGCTAACTAGAAACCCATTCTCTCTCTGTCTTAAAACTCATCCTCTCTGGAAACCCAATCTCTCTTTCTCTCTTAAAAACCCAATCTCTCTAAAAATAAAATCTCTCTTTTTAAAAACATATTCTCTCTGGAAATCCAATCTCTCACTAAAAATCCATTCTCTAAAAATTCAATCTTTCTTGCTCTCTCTAAAACCTATTTTCTCTTTAGAAGCTCACTCTCTCTCTCTCTCTC